GTCACCATTTTTAACCGTATTAAAGGTTGGTTCAATGTACAAGAGACAATGAATCATAATGAGGGGAGGCCAAGAGGATACTATCGGATCAAACTAGATAGAAGTTGGTGCGATTGCGGAAAGTTTCAAGCATTTTGCAGGCCTTGCTCTCATGTCATAACGACATATTTGTATGTTCGCTTAGATCCAAGAGGACATATATCCCTCACTTACACAGTCGAGAGCGTTTTAAATGTTTACGTTAATACCTTCTCCGTGTTGGCAAAGGAGGATTATTGGCATGCTTATCAAGGGAACATTGTTTGGCACAATGAACAAATGCGAAGGAAGAAAAAGGGTGCCCAAACAGCACCCGTATTAGAACTAAAATGGATACGATGAACAAAATGATAAGATTATGCAGTACATATCGTCTTCCCGAACACAAATGAAAAAATTGTCTGAATATTGGGTCTAGCTCTGCAACCTAATTTTTATAGCAAACTTTCTGGAGTAATTAATTTGTTGTAAGCAAGAAATTTCAATTTAAATTCGGTTTTTCATTTCATGTTTAAGTTACCATTCGATTACAACAACCTTCAGATAATGACCAAAAAATTATAATACGACAAACTCAAGACAACTACGCAAAACACAACAACACGATAAGCAGACGAAACAACTAAACACGCCATAATAACTAAGAGATAAAAACCATCAACACAATGTCGTCCAGTCCAAGCGTCATCATCATGACATCAGCGTCGCATCTCACATTTTTCCATGAACGAATTACTCCATTTTCGTTCCTCACTATAATTTGCTTTTCTATTTTTCTGATCTGTTCACCTTCAGAATTATCTCCTTCCAACCAGCGAATCAAGTGACTCTGAAAATGCTCGAACGTCTGTGCGTTCCAGAGTTTGATCTTCATTGGAGCCTTTGTCGCTGAAAAAATAATATGAGCATCTTTTTTGATCAGTGAAAACCTTGGCAATAGAGTGGAAAACCTTGGCAATGGAGTGGAAGACATTTTCTAAGAGTGATGTGAGAAATGGTGTGAAAAATGGTGAAGATGGGTGGTTGCATTTATAGAAGACCAAACACAATTGTCAAGTCACCTCAATGGCACATCCTCCTTAAAAAGAATATGCATGCGCCACACTCATGACACTACATAGGAGGACAAACCATGCAGTGTGGTGCCTCCTCTCTAATTTACATTCATGCGCCACACAGAGTGGCTTGACTTCTGTGTAACAATTTTTTTATTCGAAAAGTAATTATTTGATAGTTTTTCTGAAAAAGTAATTATTTAAGAATTAAAAAATAATAATTATTCAAAAAAAAATTCTAAACATTAAGATGGTAACTTTTAAAAAGTTAAAGAACAAATATAATTTTTTTAAAATTAACAAATCAAAATGAATTCGAAAGTTGATGTATAATATTAAAAAATATATATATTACATCATTAAAATCATTTTATTATTTTTAGATAAAAATGTTTTATATTTTTATAATTGAAAGACTTAACATTATTATTGATTTAAATTTATAGTCATATATGCTAAATTAAAGTTTTAGTCTCTTTATTTTGGTCAACTCACGAAATCAGTCTTATCTTTTTTTAAAGTTTTGGTCTCTATGTCTATTTTCGTCCAATAAAATATTGATGTGTTATTTTTTTTATACGCGACATACTTTTTGAGCGAGAGAGAATATAGAGAGCATTTTTTGGAGAACAAAAAAGACGAACGAATAAATTGAGAGAAAGAAGGTGAAGAAGACTATAAGAGAAGACGATTGAAGGAAGAAAGCATCGTCGAAAATACAACGAATAATTGATGTTTTTTATGTCAAGTCAATAAAAATATATCACGCATTTAAAAAATAGTACAAATCAACGCTTTTGGGGACGAAAAATAAGCATGAAAAATAAAACTGCTTAAAAAATAAATAGATGATTGTTTTTGTGAGTTAGTCAAAATAGGAGGACCAATAGTGTAATTTAATCATTTATATATTATCGTTTTTATTTACTATATTTAAAAAAAATAAAATTTAAATCTTAAAAATTTATAAATTACTATAAAATCTTAAAAATCTCTCTTATAATCCGAATCCAATAGACCCTTTAAATTTGATAAAGTAGATTTCAAATACTTATATTCGATAATATATATTTTAATTATATTTTAATATATTTTATCAATTGGTAAAATAGATGTATTTCAAGTAATTTTTAGATTTTTGTTATTGCATAAATTTTATATTTCATATAGTTATGACTATTTGTGGAAGAATTTGTTAAATATTTCATATCCAGGATATAAATGTCAAAATTTTCTACATTGAATTGAACAATCATGTTAGTTAGGAAATCAGTCTTTTAAATATTATTAAAATAAAATAAAATGTGTTTTATATTACAAAAAAAAAAAATTATTGTGATTAAAACATATAAAAAACTTTCTTTTAACCTTAGTGGAAATATATTTGGGACAACTAAATTAGACACTAAACACTATACAATTTTTAAATAATAATAGTAATATTTTTATCTCTTTACAATTCTAAATACATTTAAAATAAATGTATTTTATAGAGTTTGAGTTTGGTATGTTCCCATATTATTGCTATAATCTTACAAGAAAGATTGTTATTAACTACAGTACATTGTATCTACAAATAATATAAGCATAATTTTCTGTCAAATAAAATATAGCATAGTTTAGTAAGAATAAACAATTCAATTTCAGCCCCATAATATGAATTATGCTTTTTACCTAGCTTTTCTAGAGCTACATTAAAGGAGAGAGTGTTCCTTCATTTTACTCCTTGATGACAAAGTTGTTTATAGATAAGTATTAACATCAAGAAGATTTTCAAGTGACATGGTTTTTCTGTTCCGAACTCTACCAGTTTCCTTCAACAACTCATCCAATCTTCTCTTCTCATCAACAACATCAAAGTGTGCTGTCCCAAGCTTTTCCTCCCTCACAACCATAATGCACTCCATTAGATCAATTGCGTCGTTCACCCTGAAATAGAATATCATACCATAATCATTTTTCATTTAACCGTGACAAATATTTTATGTGGTTGTGCAGTAATTAGTCTTGCATGTCATCAAAGACAAACATGCAAATGCTCAACAGTTGAAATAATATTTGCAAACAACCAAGGTATATAACAACAACAAAAGACAATCACAAAATAAGAATGGATATACCTTCCCATTGCATCATATGTGCCAGCAAGATTGCTATATACCCCAAGTGTTTCAGAGTGATAAGGGCCATACTCTTTTTCCAGAACAACCTTTGCTTCTTCAAATAATTTTGCAGCCTCATTTAACTCACAAAGTTGCACACAACAAAGACCCATTTGATTCAGAACTATACCAAAGAAGGCCGATTTTTTCTCTCCCGTGGCACGAAGCTTCGAGACAGCATTCTTGAAAGCATTATAGGATTCAGTCTGGTTTCCCAACACATAGTATATGACCCCCATTTGAGCTTCAATTCCTGCTATTGTGTTCTGTTGACCAGGAGCATCATTGTGTATCTCCAATGCCTTGTGCAATAACTTAAGTGCCTGTTCAAGCTCATTCATTGACTCATAAATAGCTGCAACATTCACAAAACCACTAGCAATTTGCTCAGAAGGGACACCAGACATTGGATTTTCATAGATTTGAAGTGCACTTTCACAATATGATTTTGATTCTTTTGTCTTCCATGTCCTATTATACAACTCAGCCAAACGAACAAAGACGGATCCAACCGCAGGATGATTCTCTCCTTTGTGTGTTTTGAAAACCGCTAAGGCCTTTTTATACGCCAAGATGGCCTCGTCGTATCGAGCCAACGACAGGAATGTGTCTCCAATGCTGCAATCAACGGACGCCACTTCCACTTCTTGGCCATTTGATACCATTGCAATGCTTGCTAAAACAAGATTCTCCAATGCAGCCTCATGATTTCCATTAGTTTCACATATAAGTCCCATCAATCTTCTATCCGCCGCCTCTTCAAGAGAAGAAGGTGAACCATTTGCTCCATGAATATCAAGAGCCATTTGGCAAAGCCTCTCCGCCTCATCAAATCGCAATGCTTGAAAATTAGCTTCTGCTACATACCTACAAGTTTCACCCACTCTTGGATCTGTTACCCCTAAAACCATTCTTTGCACTTCCAACCCTTTAGTGTAACACATAATTGAATTCTCAAGCTGGCCTAGCATGGCATAAGTGTCTCCAAGCTGCATGTGACTGGCGAATTTCGCTATGGCATGTTCTTGACCTTCCCCGACAACAGGAATCTCGATCGATCTCTCTAAAATAGGAATCGCCTCATTGTAATGGCCCAAACTGCAATATATTGCTGCAATAACATGTAAACACATAACCAAATCCAAACCCGGTTTCCCATTCGCAGACTTCTCATACATTTTCATTGCTTGAATTGACAATTCCAGCGCTGTCTGAGGATTCTCTCCTAACGAAATCAAGTCCCTTGCCTGCTTCAGCAAAAACGGTCCAAGCTCAGGATTATCTAATGTCAATTCTTGGGAATGCTCAACTCGGCTTTGTGACCTTGATCTTCCAATCAAAGAACTCCTCGGTTTCATAACGTGATTAGTAACCGTTGTATCTTGCTTTCTCAAAAGATTGTTGTTGTCACTCTTCCTTTCAATAGGAGGTTTTGCATTAGGAGTTTTTCCCTTAGCTCTTGAATCCCTCTTTACACCTTTCTCCATTTCCTCTTTCGCTATCTCCAACTTCCTCATTTGTTCTCCACCAATATGGTAAAATTCCGAATCAGTTATCGACCAATCACTCTCGGATCCAAAGCTTCTATTAGTCGAAGGTGATCGACGAGAAAAGTGTATTTCACATACACTTTGTGGTGAATTGGTTTGATTAAAGATGTTCTTAGGGAGAGAAGGATTCTCAAACTCATTCATTGCTTTTGCTTCATTTTTCACAATACCTGGCATCTTTGATTCTATAGGAATCAAAGAACCTATAAAAATAAATCATGTTCATCGCTTAATAAACCATAATTGCATTTTGTATTGTAATAACATTAGACAATGAACAAATTGTTCATGATTAATTTTATAAAAGAAAACACAAATACGCGGATTAAAGAAAGGTAAGAAAAATCAATATATGAATGCATAGAATAAAAGATGATGAAGATTGAAAGAAGAAGATGAATAAATGAGAAGAAATACCTTAAAACAACAATGAATAGCAAACGAAAATGGAGATATGAAGCGGAGAGAGGAACGGGAGGGATTGAAATGAGGAGAGATTAAAGAAGATTTGTGATATAAAGATAAATCGTTTTTTTGGTTTTGCAGAGTTGGAACGGAACTTCTTCCCAAACCAACTAACTGCGCGCAATCTGTAACGATAACTGCTCTTTCCTTTGTCATTTCTTCCTCCAACCAACGTTTCAATGCCACGTGGCATTAATTTCCATATTTCAATTTGTACACACTTTTAACTTTAATATTTTTTTTAGACCGTCTGTAAATTATAACCATTAAAATTGTAAGAATATTTTAAATTATCTATTGTTTAAATAAGTGTTATGGTCCTCGTTAATTAGCGAGATTTTGAATTTAGTTCTTTAATATTTTTGTGTGTAAGTTTTTATATATTTATTTTTCTGTTAGTGTTAGTCTCTGTTGGCTAAGTTCCGTTAAAAAAATTTATAGTTGACATTTAGTTTTTTATTTTTTTATTGTTTTCATTAACACACGTGGATAATATATTTTAAAGTTAATAAATGAGGGATCAAATTAAAAAATTATCCTCGTTTTACAATTCTCCCCTTTCTCTTCGCCTCCGTACTTTCTTCTTCTTCTCTGCACCTTCAACATTCAATCAACCATGGCTTCTTTGTCGACTGCAAACTCAAACCTCTTTCAAGTGTTGCTTTGTGGTTGCAATGGATCAATAAAAATATTTATGTCAAACTCATTTGAAAATCTTAAACGGAGATATTGGAAGTGTCAAAATTCAGGATCAATGTCAGGTTGCTAGTTGTTCACTTGAGATGATGAGCTTGAGCGAAACGCACCAAGTGAATCCAGAACTTCAATTGGATGCAATTGCTCAGAGGTGTTGAAGGATTTAGGGTGCATTGTTAAGGAGCTTGAGGTTGGGAAAAAAGAGAAGATGAAGATGAAGTTGGAGAAGGAAAAGAGAAAAGGAAATATGTTCAAGCTCTTGTTGATTGTGTCATGGGGTTTTTTCTTTGCTTACCAGAAATGATGGTGAATCTCTTGGTTGTGTATGTGCTATGTAATTTGTTTTTTTTCTTGTAACATTAAGTTTTTATGAATATCGTCCTTGTACTATATAATAAATGACAATGATATTTTGATTTTAGACCATATATGTTTTTGGTGTTATTGTTATACATGTGTATGAATTGTCTAAAATAGTATAAGAGGTAAAAAGACACGTTATTACTAGGCCGAAATAATAAGGCATAAACCAAGACAATAATGTATCCAAAATACATATTCCAAAACACAAAGGCTTAGGCTTAAAGACTAATGTATCCAAAATACATACTCGAAAACACAAAGACATAAGTCATATACATAAGAGAGATACATGATGTATCCATTTTGTTCAACATAACAACATTACATGATCTAAAACACTAATGTCTATAATTTCCATGGTTATGTTGTATAACTTCCTTCTCCATTGAGCTTTTTTCACTTTAACACCATAGTTCTTTCACTTCTCCTCAACTCCAACTTCCTTGCTACCTTTTATTTGGGTTGCTTTATCTACCAAAACACCATCACACACAAGCATTGGACAACATCTAGTAAACCCAATAACAAACACATAAACTGAATATGTATACAAACCTTAACTGGTTTAGGAATTATTGGAGGTGCAGAAATAACATCAAGAGGTGGAGGTGCAAATACAACTTCCTAAGGTGTAGGGTCAACATCTTGAGTAGGTGCACACAAAATGTAGTTAGTTTATGAGTCACCAATACCAGTGTCTTGTGAAGCTACTTGAGGTACAATTTCCACAGTTGAAATATGCTCATTAGCATCATTAGGAATAACTACAGCTTGAGAAGTAATATCATTGACATTGGGTTAAGGTTGTACTCCTAAAGAGTAAGTGCTCCTAATCTTAGAAACAATATCATGAATCTTGATTCCATCAGATAAGGCCATCCTAGCCGCCACAGTATTAGCAATCCACTTGCAATTAGCAGAAGTATTATTCAAAACCCTACCATGTAACGCCCCAAATTTATTTAAATTGTTTTTCATAATTTAATGATGTGGTGTTGTGCATTTATATTCATTGATGGGTATTTTGATGTATTGTGATGCCCTTGGTGTGGGATAATCGCCTTAGAAATATAGAGATTAAGGTATTGGGTGTGTGTAAGTAATTATGTAGAACTTAGGGATGGTGGGAGTAAGTAGTTATTAGCATTATTTAATTAAATTAGAGGAGATAAATAATATTAGTGATAGTTAAATATTTATTTAGCTATGCTTATTATTTAGCTATGTTAATTATTTAGTGGTTTATTTTATTATTAGAGAATAATAATAATAGTGATAATAGAATAATAAGAGAATATTAGGTGTAGAGGTGTGAAGGGCAGTATGGTAAAAAATAGTTAGGACTAGTGAGGGTGTTATGGAGAGATTATAGAAAGTGTCTAAAGTTTAGATAAGTAAAAAAAGGAAATGGAAGAATCATTCTGAATCGATCGTAGAAGTGAGAAGCGGTGAGAAGAAGAGGAAGCTAGGGCTAGGAGAAGACTCCATTGGAGAAGGGAAGAGAACTCAAAAATCTAAGGGTGAGGTTCTAAATATCTAATGAGTTGTATAATGATCAATGATTAAGGGTAATTACTCGTCAGAATATAACTCTAATGCATGTGTTACACCCTTTTTGATAGAATTATGTTTGGGGATGATGTTATGTGAATTTGTGAAATTGTGGGTTTATATCAGTGTCTATGATTATGACTCGATTGTGTGAATTCTTATATGTAATTATTTCTATGATTATTTGGGATGTTTTTAATGATGTGTATGGATGAACATTGAAATTGGTAAATTGAATTGTGCATTGTATTAAAATTTAGGACTGTTTGGATGAGCAAATAAGTGATTTTCGTATTTTAAAAATAGCACAAAAGTGCTTCTGCACTGGGTGTAACCGGTAACCTGTTTTGGGGTAACCCGTTACCACATATAAACCAAAGGCGTGGAGGTTTGGTTACAGGAATGTAACCGATTACCACTTTTTGGGTAACCGGTTACTAGATGAAAACAATAGCGTGGTATTTTTGGTTACAGGGGGTATAACCGGTTACCAGTCTGGAGGTAACCGGTTACCACTGACTCTGGAAGACTTATTTTGAAAACTTAAAAAATTCATAACTTTTGTTTCGGGTGTCCGATTGGCACATGGTTTGAATTGTTGGAAAGCTGATTAAACGTACTTTAACTTAAAGTTATTTTCTACACTATAATTCCAACTATTAGACGCATGGACGCGTGTTTGATGTGTGTTGAGTTGTGTTATTTTTGTGGAATTTTGCAAATGCACGGTGATTGCTTGATATACCATTGTTTTGTTGTTACTGCATGTTTTGTTAGGAGTTTGATGAATGGTGGAAGGTATCGGCAAAATGCACTGACTATGGTAAAAGTCAATGTGTATATTGTTGTTGTTGCATGTAAAATACTGCATGTACTCATGGTGTTGGGCGAAGGTCCGTGATTGGTGAGCCTCAATCCCATTATGTGAATTGGGTGTAAGTAGCTAATCCTATGGTAATAGATTAGTGAAGCGTTACGTTGGTAACAATTTAGACAGAGGTCCATTTGGAGAGCTTCGATCTTAGGTGGAGATCATAGCGATGAACCTGAGGGTTCACAACTTGGTACCATATGCATTAAGTCGATGTTGTTGAGTCTCATTGTATTGCATTGGTGTGTTGTTGTATTGTATGTGTGTGATATGTTGTTGAAATGTATGTTGTGCTTGTAATAATTTTTTGTTCATTTATTATTATACATTCCATTATATATTTATGATATCTCACCCTTATTGTTTGAATGTTGCCTCTACGTGGGTAACATGCAGATAGATGCTCATGAGTAGCTCAGAATTAAGGTTAGCCGAGGAGAGAGTGCCTCATATTGCATAGATTGAGTCAGTGTCTTCTCTGATACGTAACACTGGAGGAATTATGTTTCTTTTTTTATGTTGGGAGTAAACTTATGTATAACTCCATTTGTTGGATTTATTTGGTGTTATATGTTTATTTTAGATTGTTGTGATTATAACTCATGCTGAAGAGTTAAGAGTAATTATTGTTGATGTCTTTCGTTGCTAATAAAGGCATTGAAGTTCAGACATGATAAATATGTGGTTTATGTTTTTAATATGTGTTGTGTATCTTGGTACATGAGCATGTTGGTGAATAAATGTGACATTATAAATGTTTAATTTGTTTAAATTTACTTTGATTTTCAATTATAATTACGCGGGGAAATTTAGGGTGTTACATAGTGGTATTAGAGTAGGTCGGTCCGTTCGACCAAGTTATTGAGTCTTTAGTGTTTGACGGTGGAATATTGTCGAGATAGTTTCTACTAACCATTGTTAAAGTTATTGGTGTGAAACAAAGAATGGTTGGAAGGAACGATGCTGCGATTGCTGCTGCTTTGTAGGTTATGGCTCAGGCTGTGCAGAATCAACCTAACGCTGGTGGGAATGATGAATCCCATAACTTGGGAATGTTTTAGAGGAACAATCCACCAACCTTCAAGGGTAAGTATGATCCTGACGGAGCGCAGGCTTGGCTCAAGAAGCTTGAGAGGATCTTTCGAGTAATAGATTGTTCAGAAGCACAAAAGGTACGGTTTGGTACATATATGCAGGTAGGAGAAGTTAATGACTGGTGGATTAGCACCCGTCAGAGGTTGGAAGCGGTATGTGAAGTTATTACTTGGGCTGTGTTCAACAGGGAGTTTCTAAGGAAGTGTTTTCTGGAATATCTTTGTGGAAAAAAGGAGATTGAATTCCTAGAGTTGAAACAAGGGAATTTGTCTATAACTGAGTATGCTGCTAAGTTCGTGGAACTGGTGATGTTCTATCCTAATTATAGTGAAGCAATTGTTAAGTTCTCAAAGTCTATCAAGTTCGAGAATGGGTTGCACTCAGAGATCAAGCGAGCTATATGATATCAACAAATTCGCAGGTTTCCAAAGTTGGTGAATAGTTGTAGAATCTACAAGGTGGATAATAAAGTTATTCAGCTCATTATAAGAGTCTAAGTGAGAAGAGGGGAAAGTATAATGTGAACCATGGGAAGCCAAATAGCTCTCCGATTGGCAGGGGTAAATAGAGGTGCTCATGT